ACCTCTCTTTATCCTTTAGAATTAAGCAGGCTGTATTTGTTACTGTGCCTTTATATATCAGTGACCTCTGTTCTCATTGTGCATCATTCAAAAAGCACTCAGAGCTGAAATGCATCTTTGAACTTCACTGTATGTAGGCGGTGCTAAACTGCTGTAGGGTGAATATGTAGATATATATGTTAGGAACGTGTTTATTGTGACATCACAGAAACAGTGCATTCAAAATGGGCTGTTTTTGGGACATAGTTTTCATATATGGACTGCATGGACTGCTTAGTAAACAATATGCTTTAAAACTTTTACAATGTTTACATATTATTTCAACTGTTTAGTTTCAAAAAAGTGAAGGATAATAAGTTCTGAATGTGTGTGCACTGTCACTGTGCATCCAACAATAAAGGCAGTGCGGAGCTTCATTTATTGTGTTTAGAACTGTCAAAGTTAATAAAGCGATAAATTCTTAACACCACTAATTCTTTAAATGTTGTTAATGTTCCTTGTTTGACCCTTCGACCCAACTGTAGTAGTGCAGGCTGAAGCCCAGCTGCCTATATGCTGTATGTTGCTATGATAGACAGGAGATCTATAGATAAATCAACAAGCAGCAAACTAACAAAAGCAAAAGCAGTTCCCGTACAGGTCGCCTCAAGAGCCTTCAGTGTAACGAGAACCCATGTGCTGTATGAACGAGAAAGAGAGAGATCTTTTAACTGTAGGAATGTGCTGAGATTAGAGTTGTGGGCAATTATACGATATTTCTCATGAACATATGTGCCGAATTTGATACATAAACACATATGAAATTAATACATTTGAATGGGATCCACCTGGATCAGCATTACCGTGAAAAGTAACGTATTTTTTTAGGGTTACAAACAGTAGTGGGCTATTGAAATTCTTTCTCAGGCATGAGTTTCCTCAGAAACGTTAACGTTAAGGCCACCGCACACCAGAAACACTGTGTTGTGCCATGCAGTGTAGCCTAGCATCACATAGCAGAGCGCTGCTATAGCATGCTGGCAGGCAGAGCCGAGAAACACCAGGTTCAAACTAAATGAAATAGAATTCTCAGCATCACTCATCATGCTTGGCATCAGTTTTCTATTTACTATTTTTGAGCTGAAAGATACCAACTGAAGAAGACTAGGCTAGTTAGGTTAGCTGAGGTAACATTAGCATGTGTCTGTTTATCTAAAAGACTGATTGCATTTTTCTGTGTGAAGTTCAAGCCACATGTGATCTACTATGACTTTCCGTGGTCTCAACATGGCAATCTCAGCCATGTCTGTGGTAAAACACTGGGTGGTGCTGTGACGCATAGAGAAACTGACCAGTGCTCTGAGTCAGTGTGCGATGGCCATTATGCCATTATGCCACAAACGAGCGCAGATAACTTGACGTACAAACAGTACAAACCAGGCTAGCGTTCGTCTCTTTAGCTGAATAGTTGAGTCAGGGTTGCTTAAGTCATCTCCTGTTGTGTAGCCTTTTGCATCTGAAGTAGTTCATATTGTTTTTGAGGCAGCGGACATAAATGAATAGCCAGTTTTTTGGGGTCAGTATTAGCCTAAAATGGACACCAGAGCGATTGCCGCCCTTTGAGTTGCACCGCCTGAGAAGCCACCTGAACGATACAATTTATTCACATGCACACGTACACACACAATGTTTGTGTGTGTGTGTGTGTGTGTGTGTGTGTGTGTGTGTGTGTGTGTGTGCGCATGTGAACTTGTGTGTGTAACACTGGCGGGTGTGCGAGTGTTTTGCGGGAAATGGCGTGAATGAGTAGGAAAGCGTGACGATAGGAGGCTGTATATATCCTCTGCTTTGCCTTAGACTGGATACTGAAGGAGATCTTTACAGCCTCCTCAGATCATTAAATCTTCTCTTTCTCACAGATTCCCGTAAACACAGTCTCCCTGCAGCTGTCCTACACACTCCGCTGACTGCGTCACTCCAGCTGTTCCAGAATGATTGCTTTTTCCTCGCAGCGTTCGTAATAAAACATTAGAATGCCAAGAGAAACATAAAAACATCGAACTGTTTTTTAGATGATAATACAATGTCCTGGACAAGGTTATAGACATGATGTACTAACACTTTCAGGTTTGAGTCAGGGCAAGTTCAGCATTCAAAGACAAGAGGTACATATTTTAGGTTTAAAAAGAATATAGACTTAAAAAAATATCATCTTGATAAATCAGTTATGATTAGTTGGCAGTTTGCATGATAATAATGCATATTTCAGATTCTCCTAGTAAAGAGTATTTTAGAATCTTTGAAAAGCTATGCATGGTTTGTTTCTCTTATGTTCTTTTTTACTGAACCCAACTGTAAAGTAACGTCTAAGTACTTGATTAGTTCTAATAAATAATCCACACTGCTTACCACACTTTGCACTACTTTACTCAGTTACTAATATAATCAGTAGTGAGAGCCTGAGACTTTTTTCAGTACACTGTGTATGAGTGTAAATGTCTGACCTCATCAATTAGATTTGATTGCTTGATTATTTTGTTACAACAGTATTATGCAATACAAACTGTTTACACAGTACTGGAATATAGATAATACAGGAGTACACCTTTTCATAGCCTGAGAATTTTATTTTGGCTATACAATAAGAGGATACATTGGTGAGACATACTATAAACAATAGTAATGCACTGATATGGGAATTGTGGACTGATATCCCAGATTTTTCATGTACATGTCCGAGGAAGCCAAAATATAAATGTTTATAAATTTATAAATTACAAAAATTGGGATTATATCTAACAAGATTAGTATCACAAAGAAATATAATATTTATTTTTATAGGGTTAAATTGCCTAAACCACTATCAACTAACGATTTGCTATATCAGCAAAATTTAATTCTTCAAAAGCAATTTCAAAGTAATTATTTTCCAATACTGATGTGATTAGTCATCATGCACCCCTGATAATCAATTATAATCAGTAATAACATAACAAAATCTGAGCAGATGGTTGATTCTTCACAATGTATTGATGCACTTTCACACCTCTAATGCTGCGTTTACATGTTGGAGTTGTATGTGTGGTATGTGACTGACAGCAGCATGAAGCTCCGCAAATGTTGCCATGGTAACAGCGTTACCAGCAAAAATGGATGCCTGTCCAGGAGAACTTCAGCAGTGTTGACTGTTTATTTAAGGTGGGAAAAGGCAGGACGATGCTCTGTACTCTTTTATTTTTGTTGTACAATACTGGGCTCGTCTGGAATTCAAGAATAAGACGTTTGGCATCCTTGGCTCCCAAAAATTCAACATCTGGTTTGGCAGTTGCAGAATTTTTCATTATCATACAAAGGAATAACCGGTTTGCCGTCATCAGTCTACCGGCAGCATGTAAACTCAACGTAACTCCTATAGGAAGAAGTGTGGACTCGAGTCAGACTGGAGTCATGAATTTGACTCATCAAAATCAAGAAAGACTTGCGACTTGACTTCGACTTGAACACCAATGACTGGACCTGAGAGCCTTAAGGCTCTAAAAGACTGGAGCCCCATAGTGGAAGAAACATGAGAAGCATGTGACTGCAGATGGGACTCTACACAGTCGGTTACTTTTCATGGGAATGGATTCATTTCATGCCATAAATTTGATATACAGCAACGCAATCAATTGTCTGTTATTGTGCTTATGCTTGGCTTATTTTGTTTCAGAAAACAAGTGAAGTGTGAGAATTCAAGTTTGCCTCCACAAGCTAGAAACAAGTGAAGCATCAATAAGCCCTCACTCAGCACTTAAAGTTACCAGGTGAACTGACCATGTTCCTGACCGTAGTAAAACAAAAGAAACAGCTCTCTATTTAAACCATGTTAACAGCTTCTGCAACCATAAGGAAGAAGTTGACTTTTTATTCTATCCAGATTCATATTTGAATTTGCCATTCCCTCTTAAATGGTGTAGCAGGTACATTCCAGCACGTAACTGCTTCACTATTTAAGGTGGAACAGAAAATGTGAATAAGAAGCCAACTTAAACTGTGTACATTCACCATCATTTTGCTGTTTTGTCAGTAAACTTTGTTCAGCTTGGTCGTTTTGGTCTCTGTTGTCATCTAAATTCAAATTCAGTTAAAGTTGTTTAGGTTGCTGAGGTAGTTTTTGTTCTAATTTTATTTTAGTCAACAATTATGTTAAAATATATTTTTTGAAGTTTAGTAGTACTTTCTTAGTAGTAATTCTTTTCATGTGTAGTTGCATTTCTGCTGTGTATATCATTATGCCTAACATGGTTACCGTGTACCATGAATCTTATATTTTATTTGAAGGGGTAAAAACCTCAATATACACCCATACACTACTGACATGCTAACTACTAAAAGGCAGTGTTACTCCTACCATCATTTTTGTCATTCACTGTTGAAATGACTTTAAATTCGCTGAAGGATGAATACTGACTTGTTTAGGACTTAGGACTTTGGACATGACTTAAGACTTGCTTCTACACACTTAGCAAAAAGGTTTCCTTGTAGTACCAAAAAGGGTTCTTTGGCTTGTACCAATAGTGGAACTCTGTTTGGTGCTATATTGAACCCTTTTCAAAAAAGTATAGAAATATATAGAACCATCTACAACACATCCTCCATGAGTCTGAAGAACCTTTCACAATGCAAAGCACCATTTATTTATGCAAAGAGTTCTTTGATTGTTCATGGTTCTATATAGAACCATTTTCTTTACTAAAGAACCCTTGAAGAACCATCTTTTTTAAGAGTACTGGTATGGAACGCGACTTGACACTTGCCTGTACTGACTCGAGTCTTGAACTGAAACTTAACTGACTTGACCCGGGACTCGAGTGTCAAGAATTGAGGCTTGGTCTTAGTGACTTGTTCTCAGCTCTGCCTGTAGGTATAACAGTAGTGGATTAATGAGTACAGGGTTCAAAGCACAAACTAAAACCTGAAAACTTGAAAGACTGCAGTAAGAGATGTGCTCATTAAACTGAAGCCTTCTTTGTCTTTTCCAGGTTTTAGGCTGAGTGACCACCTTGTGAAGGCTGTGTGGGGGTCACCCCAGTCACTCCATTGTGAGGCCACTCAGCGCACTGTGACCGATCATTCCAAACAGCAGCGGGCAGAATGAAGCGACCTGGGGCCATTTTCCTCCCCCTCCTCGTCTTCCTCTTCATCTCTCTGGTGAGGAAACACACAAAACCTACTCAACATGTGCACTATTTTACCCTAAATGGTCCCTGTCAGGAATCCCTTGCTTTTTTGAAATAAATGAGTTTGATGTAGTTGTACTGTTCAGTCCTCAGTCCATACAGTCCATATATGGAATGTAAGTCGTGAAACAGTCTGTTTTGAATTAATTGTTTTAGTGGCGTCATATTTACATATCTCCATCTATTCAGCCTACAACACTTCAGCCTCGCCCGTTCACACTGAAGGTTTAAGAAGTGTTTCAGCCTGGACTGCTTTTTTTTTAATGAGGCACAGCCAATCAGAACAGAGTTTTTTTTACATATATCAGTCTTAAAGGCACACTAACAAAAAACAACCTGTTTAATTGTAAGTGATAAAGAGACTTTGGTAAATGTGATGTAAAAATAAAATTCTGACTGTTTTTGGTACATACAAACCAAAAAGCACAATATTTGGTAATTTACCTTATAAACATCCATCCATCCATCCATTATCTAAACCGCTTATCCTTCTGGGTCGCGGTGGGGTGCTGGAGCCTATTCCAGCTGTCATTGGGCGGAAGGCAGGATACACCCTGGACAGGTCGCCAGTCCATCGCAGGGCATACCTTATAAACATTTTGTTGTAAATGTATGAAATGTATGTAAATTCATTCCAAATTTGACGCCATGCTGTTGTAACACATGACATGGTCTTCTCTGAAAAAGACATCATCTAAAAGGCAGCATATATGTATATTTATCTTTTAGTGTTAATGATGTCTTCACAGATGTGCAAATTACCCACTAATATCCTCATACAGTGAAAGAGCTTTGAAACTTTTAACTATGCTGGTAACAATCTGGATGGTCCTTTTCTTCTTTGGCCCAGAGAACATTATGTCTATTATTTACATACACAAACTGAAAGTTTTAACTCGTGAGACCACAATACATGTTTCCACTGTGCATCAGTCTATTTCAGATGAGCTCAGGCCCAGAGAAGTAGACGGTGTTTCTGAACGTTAATGACATGTAACTGCTGCGGTGTTTATTGACGATGGTTTGTCACGGTATTCCCGAGCCCATGTTGTGATTTCCATTTGACCTTTCCACGCACAGTGATTTCTCTGGATTCCCTGAATCTTTTGAAGGCATTATGCACTGCTGAGACTAGGACTAGGCCTTTCCTGCTCCTTTTGATTCCAGTCATGTTTGTATCACCATGATTGTATCACATAATTTTACAGTGTTTCTAGGCTTAAATCGCCTCTGTCCTTTTTTTGAACATGCAGGCTGTTCCATTTCAGGATGAGCGTATATTTACAAAACTATTGGAAAGTAAAACATGCAAAATCTTGTCTTTGTACTGTTTTAGTTTCTGTTTTTATTTGCATTTCACATATTGTCCCAACCCTTGTTGACCTGAGGTTTGTAAAACCTCATACATTTTATAAGAAAAATGCTAAAAATGCAGGAAATGGGGCGTTTAATTGAAAAGTATCAGTGAGAATGTCCTTTTGGCGGGTGGTGCGTCTATATGGGTGTGTGTGTGTTAGCTGGTTGTCCAGTTTTGTCTCTGTGGATTCACATGTGGATGGGTTTTGGAGGGAGGCGCTCCATATGCAGCAGTAGAGTGGAGGAGCAGAGGCTGCTGGGAAACGGAGCAAATCCTCACACAGCAGATGGCTTTGCTGACAGCCCATCTGCAGAGACCCCACAGGCCCACCAGTGCCAGTTTCAGAAGACACCGAAGCTTTGGCTCATAACCATTAAACAGGACTGTCTCTGAGCATCAGAGCCGTCCTCCACAGAGAAAATAATGAAAATAAAAGAGCAGCATTGTTATTGTTTTGCCAGAAGTTTTTACTGTGCTGCTGTTGTTGTTGATAACACAGACATTTGTGAAGTTTGGGCGCCCCTGGTCAAATGACATTGTTTTTTTGTTGATTTTCTAAGTAAATATAAGTAAACACACCCTGTACAGAGAACACACTTCTGCACAATTACTGTATATTTACTGAATTTTACATGTTGGGGGCAAAATTAAACATAAAACATGGTCTGTACAAATGTTAGGGCACATTTTATATTTTATGTTTTATTTTTCATATTGCCATGATGCATATGTAAGACATTTAGCCGTATAAAATCATTCCCCTTTAAATTATCAAACGTGTTTATGATGCAATGACACTTCACACCAGATATACTGAATAATGCTGAATAAATAATGTTATTCACAAGTGCACAGTGGTCTATATGACAGCACATATGCATGTGTGAGGCACTCTGTGGCTGTAAAATGAACAGTGAATAACAAAGTATTCGCAAACATGTCACAGATCACGGTCAGTACAGTAACATCACCCTTTCACTTTTTGCTTTCTCACTTTTGTTTTTGCTTTCTCACTTTTGTTTTTGTGCTCTCGCTTTTGTATTTGTATTTGTATTCACTCGTTCTCTCCTGTGTTTGTGCGTTCTCTCTCTTTATTATTGTGTTCTCACTATGTATTTGTGTTCTGCCTTAATGTTGTTGTGTTCTCAGCTTTTGTTTGCTTGTTGTTTTGATATGATTCAGCGGGCCACCATAACTGGGGGGTCTAATTTACCTCTTGGACCCCTTAATGTCTCAAAACCGAAATTCTGGGGGTCGCTGAAAATAAACTTATGAAGTTATGCTGTCCATTAGGGAAAATAGATGCTTAAATACAAATTCAGAGAAAGGTTTAGCTGCTTCACCTGCAATCTGTGAGCTTTTGTCTTTGGTATTCTTAACTAACCAGTGCTGCCTCAGTGTGGCACTGTTGCAAATTGGTTTACCCAGTAGGTCCTTCATAGCCTAGCCACTGTGACTGACTTCATCAAACCCTAACCCTCACCACAGCATATTTGTAAATCTCAAAACTTGCCCAATTCCCCAAGAGATGGTGAAAAGAGTGAATTATTATGAATGAATTATTAGTCATTTCTTAAACCAAAGACAAAAGAGATGTGTAAGATCTCAATTATTATGTGGGAGACCATTTCCAAACTAGACAAGAGCATTTCCAGAAGAAAAACTGATTATTAAAGAATACTAAACCAAACATTTTGACAGTGAAGCTAGCATCAGCGGCACTGATGAGTCCAGCCAGCCAACGCTGGAGTAGCTAGCCGACATGGGACCCTCCAAATACCAGGGGGTATTTCGCACACTGCCTTCACAGTGGTAGAGGGTGTGCACTTTTTAGACACTCCCTTAAACAGTAACCTGTCAGTGTTTTGCTGTTCAGAGCTTTTGTTCAGTAAAATTTACAGAAGGATGTAATGTATTTGGTTGTATTTTGTTCTCTGTGTTCTCAGGAGTCAGAAAATTTAGGTCTGAAACCAACACAAAAATATGACTAACAAGGATCATACGGGCCTTAACAACAGCAGATGATAAACTAACAGTTGAACTGTTAGTCAGCATCTTCAGATCACACAACACGGAAGGGACTAGAGTGATTTTACACAAATAATAATAAAAATGTCAGTGAGGATCTCTTGCTGGAGAGTCGTTGAGTGGAGTGCAGAGCTGCAGAGCTGTTTGTGTTGTCTGTATCAGGGAAATATCTGTGTAATTGCACGGCCGGCTAATGGAAGGAAATGAAGATTAAATGAAGTGTAAACATCAGACATCAGAACTTTTTACGTACCTCCAACATCATTTGGTGCACCCCTAGGGGTACACATACCACAGTTTGGGAACCACTGCTGTACACTGTGTGTTCACTTAGAAAATGAAGAAAGAGTTTGACCTGGGGTGTTTTAATTTTTTGCATGCATTTGTAAGAGTCTTTAGCAAGTTTCTTGGAGTTTGTAACTCTGTGTGCTTGTTAAATTAAAAAACACAATATTGAGACACAGTAATGCACAATACAACTTGTATAAGATAACAAATATAATCTAGCTACATTACTGTGATATGAGCCCTTTAATAAATGCTATAAAAAGTGGAACAGGGCAAAGGTTATTTAAAGAGTTTTTGATGTTTAAAATGAATGTAAAATATTTGTTCATCTAACATATTTCGATTTTATTTCATTCAGTGTATTTAATTGACTTGGAGAAAAGCAGTTACATTACTTGTTTTCACAACATTGAATTGATAAAACTTTTTGCAGTACTGTGTAAAAGTCAGAGACCACACTTTAGATATTGAATTTTAGACATTTTGTACCAGTTATTCATTGTTCAGGAGAAATTTCTGAGGAGATTAGGTATAAGATATAAGATATGAAGCATAAGGAAAGAGAAAGTCTAAAAGAAAACGAGTGAAAAAGACAGGATGGGAGAAAATGGGACTCCTAACAACCATGCAAGACCTGCTAGACCACCAAATAAATCAGATCAGATAAACAGTATTTACAGCTTTTATCTTTGAGAGATGAAAGGAATGGAAGCTGTAATAAAGGTAAAGAGTGAACACCCTACACACTAGGAGTTGCACAGACAAGTCGGCTTGCCAGCTTTACAAATTTGTGACAGTCCGGCACGTCACACTTTACTGACCTGAGGAGTTTGGCTTCGTCACACATTTTCAAAGTCAGAATTTTTAAAGTTGCTTGTTGCAAAGCATTCCCTTCTTCTGTGGTTTTAGCCATGAAGTCATTAGTGATTAGTTGACATCGGCTTTAAAAAATTGAAAATTGTGCAAACACTACTAGATACTACCATACTGAAAATGTGTGTTACATTTAGTTGTTGAGACTTATATGTAATGGCAAAACATTAAGCTTTTAATGGTCTTAACAACAAATCATTAAACACATAGACAAAGTAACTTAATGCTGTTTGCTATCCAGTGTTGACCAGAGGAGGATGGGTTCCCCTTTCGAGTCTTGGTTCCTCTCAAGGTTTCTTCTTCTTGCTTTTAGGCTCTGTCGCTCACGGGGGCTCGGACCCAGATTTTTCTGTAAAGCTGCTTTGTGACAACACCTGTCGAAAAAAGCGTTATATAAATAAACTTTGACTTGACTTAATATGGAAGAGCTTTTTCCTTTGATTCCTGTAAATATTGAACTTTTGTGTGTAAATTTGTAGACAACCTTTTACAGAGTCAGTATTTTTCCACTCAGCATTGATGGCTTCAAACAGCTGAAGAACATTGTTGAGCTAGTCTGTGTTTAATGTGAGACCAAATATTCTCTGTAGGGTTTAAATCTGCTCCGGGCTAAAACCATCAGTAAAACCCAGGAGTGTTTGTTTACTGTTTTTTTCTGATTCTGAATAACAGTTTTGACTGGGTGGTCTCTGACCTTTGCACAGTGCTGTAGTCATTTTTATCATATTTCACACAATATGTTGACTGTATTTCATGCAATATTTTGATTGTACACACTTCATTAGCATTACATGTAAAGCGCATGTGTGCAGTCAGTGTCAGGGCTGCTTACTTCTTCTTCAGAGTGGGTGGAGGACATCTGTCCCAAAGCAATCATCTGCTGAAACCCACAGTGCCCTGTCCACTGCCTTTGAGAATAAAGCTTTAATCTGATGTTTAGATCAGTGTGGGGAGGAGAGTGGAGGAATGAAGTGGGGAGAGTGGAGGAGGAGGAAAGAGAAAGAGAGATACCAGCTCACACATCTGCTGCTGTTTGTTGTGCTGTGTAATGTAGTGGATTAAATATTTCTCTCTCTGTGTGTGTGTGTGTGTGTGTGTGTGTGTGTTTATGTACACTGCTTTCTTCTCCCTGTTTTGAGGCACGCAAAATCTGACCCATCATATCCACACATACACAAGAAGTAACACCTAAACTCTTTCCCACACACAAACACACACTCACAGATTTCATTTTTAAACCTTGTCAGGTTGTGGGGTTATATGTATGTCCCATATGTGTTATATATATTGTTGCTGTTGGAACAAAATCTCGTATCTCCAGAATGGTCACTTTACAGGAGAAGGAAAAAATCTTCTTGTAATGGAAGTTAATGTAACAAGATTGTGTAATTTTTGAGCATTTCTGTTGTTCATCATGAATTTTTAACTCAAGGCAAAGAGTAACTGGAGTAACTGTTTTTTAAAATTTTAAAAATGTCAAAAACAAGAATACAAAGTTTGCAGCGACGATAAGTACCCATATGCAATAATATGTCCCATGTATTATATATCTTTAAATACCTATATGTAATATTAACATATACATTATTATACATTATCATACAAGTTTGTACCTATATGTAATAATATGTCCCATATATTAAATATCTGTAAATACCTATATGTAATAATTATATGCCTCACATGTATATTGTATAAGTAAGTACCAATATGTAATATGTCCCATATGTATTGTATATAAGTACCTATATGTAAAAATAATGTATCCCATATATATTATGTATATGTAATTACTTATGTGATATGTCCCATCTGTATCGCATAGATGTAATTGCTTATATGCAATATTAACAATAATAGTGTGTTCCATCTGTATTATATATACATAAGTACCTATATTTAAAAATGATGTGTCCTATATGTTTTATATGTATGTCTGTAAGTACTGTATTGATAATGGGTCCCATATGTATTATATACTGTATATGTAAGTACTTATTTTTAATAATTATAATAATATTTTCCTTATGTATCATATATTTTGTCATTAGAAAACAAAACCTTGTATCTTCAAAATGGAAACTTTATAGGAGAAGAAAAAAAAGCTTTTAAGTTTTTTTTTTTCCAAGGAACTTTGATACAATATAAAAGACAACATGTGTTTTCAAATCATGCAAAAAGAACAATGGAGGGACGAAGTATTGTTTTGACAGTGACAATATGTAAACATCTGTATGTAATAAGTAATTTCTAAGCCCAACCCTAAATTACATAACCATAAAATGATTTGCTCTTGGCTCTTTATAAGGTACTGTTTTGTTGGTCCTGACACTGAAGGTTGCCCCTGTTTTTCTGTGGTTTGACTTCAAAGTGAGGACATTTTATCCTGAAAATGTATGAAAACAAAGACACACGCACACATGCATGCATGATCAGTCATGCTCGTTTATTTACTTTCCTGGAAGACTGATTGCAGTTTTGTAATCCAAGGCAATACGTGCATACTTAACTCGTGAGACATGTTCCGTGCAGGACTGAAGTATAATATTTTGGGCTATAAATAGACTTGCAGCTTGTGGATTAAGCTAATGTTGTTCTGGCGTGTTTACACAAATGCTTGGTGTCTGTCAATCATCTGCATCGAGTTAATGCACTAATTTCTGGGAAAGTTCCCTCTCTTCTGTGTGGCCTCCCTCTCAGGAGACACTGCAGGCTTCCTTAATGCTAAGCACCACACAAAATATCAGCATAGACTGTGAGCAGATTGTGGTTTGGATTCTAGCATAAGAATCTGATTTACTTTTAATATAGTCCTGAAATGCTGCAACTAATGAAGTATTTGCATGTATTCCCAGGCTTCTGTTTTGATCCTGAATATAGCATCGGTCTGTGTCTCCTTTAGCAGTTATACTGTATTTAACAGCCTGGTAGTCTTTTACAGTTCAAGACAAAATATAATTGTATTACATTGCATTAATTACTTACAATATGCTATGCTGTTCAATTTAAACTAGAATTTATTGTAAATTTTCCACTGTTCAAAGCTGTGAATTCCATTGTGAATGGTATAGTTTTGTACATAGTGTTACATATTGAATTTGCACTTTTAAATTCTTCCACTATTCTCATTATTGTGGAAATATTATGTTATCGAAATCTATACTAATATAAATCATTGAGGACAGCCATATTAATGCAGAAGTCAGAGACCACTGCTACTGATATAATTTCTACTCAAAACAGTCATAAAATAGAAGTTATTCATGTTTTGGGAGATATTTCTGAGGATATTAGATATAATATAATCCACTTGCATAAGGATAATAGTAAAAGTCAAAGGAAAATAAGTGATAAAACAGAGTTTTAGGAGTTTCCAAAACTGAAGTCTAAAAATTATGGGATTTCTAACAACTATGTGAGGACTGGTGGACCACCAAAACTGTCACCTTTAGTTAAAACAGCACTTAAAGCTTTCATCTTTGAGAGATAGAAGAAACTGGCAGCGGACATCTGAGATGTGGAGTAAGGTTTTATAGACTAAATTTATAGTGATTGGATTGTGAGAAGCAGAAAGTGCAACCAACTTCTAAGACTGGACTGAAGGTGTGGAAAAATATCCCTGCAGATTTCTTTGAAAAACTGAAAGCAAGTCTCCTGAGAAGAATGGAAGCATAAAAAAGGCAAAGTGTGAACACAATAAGTACTAAAAAATGTTATATTACATTTATTTGTTGAGGCTTCTGTGTAATTTTCTGTTAAACATATGTTTTCTGCTTTTTTGACGATGAAAACGAATAACTTAATAACTTAATAGCTGCTTTGACTGGAGATCAAATGCATGAAGGGGCGGGGGGGGGCTCTGACTTTTGCACAGTACTGCGCATCTTCCATTTGACAGGACCAACTGGAAATCTTATGAACTGTCAACAGAGCTGGGAAAAACTTTCAAAACACGTGTGAATTGAGTTGGTGCTGTTGAGACTTTGCGGAGATCCTGATCTCTATGTACATTTTACTGAGTCACTGTTGGCTGTGGCTCAGTGGGTGAAGGCTTTGTGCCAAGACCCACAGCATATGTGGTACTAGAAGTTAATGGGTCAAATCTGGTGGGGAGATACCAGAAATGTTGATGTTGCAAGTGTGTTGTTTTGGAAGGAGATGGACCTGCTGCCACTGCGCCCTTGTAAAAGACATTAACGCCTTAAAATCCCAGGCTTATCACATACTAGGGCTTATAATTCAGTAACTACAGGGACTGCAATGCAAACTGGCTGAGCTATTCTGAGGTTATTCAGGCCATTTAAGGGGTTAAAGCAATGGTTCAGACAATAATTGAATTTCTACAATTGCTTCCTTACTCCAGATGTAGTTCATCAGCCAAGATATGTTTGGTGTCCAAAGTTTACCTCTTTACTTTTGCACTGGAACTATGAGACCAATGTAGATAGGAAGTAATCCATTAGTGTTGTGCAAACATCATGTTTAAATCTGCCCTAAACTGCATTGTTAGGTAATCTTAAACAAACATGCTCATGTGATTTATATTACTGTATGACGTACTGTTATCTATAAACATGGACAAAAGTACTGGCAACATTAAGGCTTCAAGATGAACGCAAAGTTTGGACACTAAATGTTTGGGCTAAAGAAGTTCTGTTGATTTTATTCACGACTGAACCATCACTTGAACTGTATATCTCTGCAGGCACCACTGAACAGCATGCTGCCTCAGCTTTGGTCTAGATGTAGAGATTTTTTTTATAATGAACCCCATGCAATTTCATGCTGTGATGTTGTTGTTTATTGTCCTGTGCACTGTTCCAGATGCAGCCCACACGTTCTGAGAGTTCCAACTGCGTCATCAAGAGAGAGCAGGAGAGATGCATGGAGAGGATCGCACTGCACGACCCCACACAGGACCAGGAGTTTGGTGAGAAGAAGAGCGTTTTTTGTTGTTTACTCAGATCTAATTTGTTGACCACTGCCCTTACAGCCTGACAATCCCAGGAGCTTTAATCAGGCCTGAAGTCTTAAAACAAAACCATCAACAATATTCTTAAAACAAACCCATCAACAAAATTCTGTCTGAACCAGACTGTAGTCCAACAAAAATCTGTCTGAATCCAACTGTAGCCCAACAAATACCTATCTGAATCTGACTGTAGCCTATCAAAATTGCTGTCTAAATTTGACTGTAGTCTGACAAAATTCTGTCTGAATCCGACTGTAGCCCAACAAAATTCTGTCTGAATCTGACTATAGCCCAACAAAATTCTGTCTGAATCTGACTGTAGCCCAATAAAATTCTGTCTGAATCCGACTGTAGTGCAACAACATTCTGTCTGAACCCGACTGTAGTCCAACAACATTCTGTCTGAACCTGACTGTAGTCCAACAACATTCTGTCTGAACCCGACTGTAGTCCAACAACATTCTGTCTGAACCTGACTGTAGTCCAACAACATTCTGTCTGAACCTGACTGTAGTCCAACAACATTCTGTCTGAACCCGACTGTAGTCCAACAACATTCTGTCTGAACCAGACTGTAGTCCAACAACATTCTCTCTGAACCCGACTGTAGTCCAATAAATACCTATCTGAATCTGACTGTAGCCTATCAAAATTCTGTCTAAATTTGACTGTAGTCTGACAAAATTCTGTCTGAATCCGACTGTAGTCCAACAACATTCTGTCTGACCCCGGCTGTAGTCCAACAAAATTCTGTCTGACCCCGGCTGTAGTCCAACAAAATTCTGTCTGACCCCGGCTGTAGTCCAACAAAATTCTGTCTGAATCCGACTGTAGCCCAACAACATTCTGTCTGAACCCGACTGTAGCCCAACAAAATTCTGTCTGAATCCGACTGTAGCCCAACAAAATTCTGTCTGAATCCGACTGTAGCCCAACAACATTCTGTCTGAATCCGACTGTAGTCCACAAAATTCTGTCTGACCCCGGCTGTAGTCCAACAACATTCTGTCTGAATCCGACTGTAGCCCAACAAAATTCTGTCTGAATCCGACTGTAGCCAACAAAATTCTGTCTGAATCCGACTGTAGCCCAACAACATTCTGTCTGAATCCGACTGTAGTCCAACAACATTCTGTCTGAATCCGACTGTAGCCCAACAACATTCTGTCTGAATCCGACTGTAGTCCAACAAAATTCTGTCTGAACCCGACTGTAGCCCAACAAAATTCTGTCTGAATCCGACTGTAGCCCAACAAAATTCTGTCTGAATCCGACTGTAGCCCAACAACATTCTGTCTGAATCCGACTGTAGTCCAACAAAATTCTGTCTGACCCCGGCTGTAGTCCAACAACATTCTGTCTGAATCCGACTGTAGCCCAACAAAATTCTGTCTGAATCCGACTGTAGCCCAACAAAATTCTGTCTGAATCCGACTGTAGCCCAACAACATTCTGTCTGAATCCGACTGTAGTCCAACAACATTCTGTCTGAATCCGACTGTAGCCCAACAACATTCTGTCTGAATCCGACTGTAGTCCAACAAAATTCTGTCTGACCCCGGCTGTAGTCCAACAACATTCTGTCTGAATCCGACTGTAGCCCAACAAAATTCTGTCTGAATCCGACTGTAGTCCAACAACATTCTGTCTGAATCCGACTGTAGACCAACAACATTCTGTCTGAATCCGACTGTAGCCCAACAAAATTCTGTCTGAATCCGACTGTAGCCCAACAACATTCTGTCTGAACCCGACTGTAGCCCAACAAAATTCTGTCTGAACCAGACTGTAGTCCAACAACATTCTGTCTGAACCCGACTGTAGACCAACAACATTCTGTCTGAATCCGACTGTAGACCAACAACATTCTGTCTGAATCCGACTGTAGACCAACAACATTCTGTCTGAATCCGACTGTAGTCCAACAACATTCTGTCTGAATCCGACTGTAGACCAACAACATTCTGTCTGAATCCGACTGTAGACCAACAACATTCTGTCTGAATCCGACTGTAGCCCAACAAAATTCTGTCTGAACCCGACTGTAGTCCAGCAACATTCTGTCTGAACCCGACTGTAGTCTGACAACATTCTGTCTGAACCCGACTGTAGACCAACAAAATTCTGTCTGAACCCGACTGTAGTCCAGCAACATTCTGTCTGACCCCGACTGTAGACCAACAACATTCTGTCTGAACCCGACTGTAGTCCAGCAACATTCTGTCTGAACCCGACTGTAGCTGTTAGGATTTTCATGGTTGTGTAGTTTATGCCCAGCTTTACCGGATAATTTGGTGGATAAAAATGCTTTAAAATGGGCCTATTCAGGCTGAAGTTTTAAGGATTGTTTCAGCCTGGGCTGCTTTCTGAATGGCGCGTGACACAAGGCAGCCAGTCAAAACAGAGCTCATTTAAATATCGTCGGTGACCAAAGTGTTAGCACATCTAGCATCTCTGTTGACTAGCGCTACCCTCTCTGCCACCCCCGAGTTCATCGAGTGCATCTCAGTCGATATGTGTCATCCAAATCATCCCTACACACACACACACACACATACACACACACACACACACACACTTGCATGTTCTTGTCAGAGTCTTGTATTTGTCGGCAGTAAACAGGAAGCAAGGGCTGTGACACCTGGCAGCAATTACAGTGGCAGTGCTGGAGAAGTGGTTTCATTTCAACCAGCCTGAGTACTACCACTTACAGAGAGAGAGAGAGAGAGAGAGAGAAAGAGAGAGAGAGAGAGAGAGAGAGAAAGAGAGAGAGAGAGAGAGAGAGAGAGAGAGAGAGAGAGAGAGAGAGGAGTAAGAAGTAGTAAGAAGAGAAAGAGAGAAGAGAGAGAATCATGTAAGAGAAAGAGAGATAGACCGAGAGAGAAAGAGGGAGAGAAAAAGAGTGATAAAGAAAGAAAAAAAAGAAAAAGAAGAGGAAGACAAATAAGATAAACAGTTTTAGGAGAGTGAGAGGAGAAAGAGAAAAAGATAAAGATGAAAAAGAAAGCAGGAGAAAGAAGTGAAAAGAAGGGAAAGAAAAAGAGTGGAGAGAGGTGTGCAGAGAGAAAAAGAAGAGAGAGAGAAACCAGAGAAAGTAGAGAAAGGATAGAAATAAAGGGGAGAGAGAAAAGGAGTAAGAGGAAGTAAAGAGAGAAGAAAGAGAGAAACGTGAAAGAAAAAGAGCAGAGAGAGATGAAAAAGAGAGAGATAGAGAGAGTGAGGGAGATAGAGAGAGAAAGAGTGAGAGAGAAACAGAGAAGAGACAGGGAGTTAGAGAGATTGAGAGAAGGAAAGAAAAGCATGGAGAAAAAGAGCAGAGAGAAGAGATAAATGGATTTGAAAGGGTGAGAGAGAGTGAGAAAGACAAAAAGAAAGAAAGAAAGAAAGAAAGAAAGAAGAGGAAGACAAAAAGACAAACAGTGTTAGAGAGGAGAAAGAAAAAGATAAATACAAGAAACAAAGAGGAGATACAAAGAAAGCAGGAGAAAGAAGTTAAAGGAAAAGAGAAAAAGAGAGAGTGGAGAGAGGTGTGTAGGGAGAGAAAGAAGAAATTGAAAAGGAATAAAGAAAGAAACAGGAATAAAGAGAGGGAGAGAAATGAGAGAGTAAATGGAGAGAGTAGGACAGAAAAAAGGAGAAAGAAGAAGTAAGAAGAGAAAGAGAGAGAGAGTGGAGAGAGATAAAGACGAGAAAGAGAGAGATAGAAAGAGGGAGGAGAGAAACAGAGAGAGAAGGGACAGGGAGTGAGAGAGATGGAGAGACTAAGAAAAAGAACGAAGATGGAGAAGGACAGCATAGATGAGGAAGACCAAATAGAAACAATATTACCGACGAGGAGGAAAAAGAGAAAAAGATAAAGATGATAAAGAAAGAGAAGAGAGAAAGAAAGAGCAGGGGAAAGAAGTGAAAAGAAGAGAGAGAAAGAGAGAGCAGAGAGAGAAACTGCAAAGAGGGAAGGAGAGAAATAGAGAAAGAATAGAGAGAGAGAGAGAGAGAGAGAGCGGGCGAGCAGGAGAACTCTGACTCATGGCTCTGGCAGCCTCAAGGCCACTCTGGCTAATTCTGACTGTTTAGAGCAGAAGATAATAGATTTTAAAGGGGTGAAACAGCTTCAGCTCCTACCAATTAGTCAGTGCGTGTTCTCTAAAGGCCAGGCTCACACTGCTGGAAACAACACTGGAGTTTTCTGGAAGCTGCACCGCCAAAAGGCTTAAACTTATGTTAGCTAGCAAAGGTTTTCCAATAATCCATTTGTTATGTATAGCCAACCATACCGCTCTGTATGAAGTGTGGAATAAAGTCATTTATCTACAGTTTCTTTTGCTTACCGCTTAGCGTTTTCACGGCAAATGCACATTTGTACATTGTGAGTGAAAAATAACAGCACGATAACAGACAGTAGGCACAAATGAAACACAACAGGCATGTAATCTGGATTTAAAAAACACAAATTGAACGTGCATTCCTAATATTGTCTGGAACGATATTCCTAATAATAATAATAATAATAATGAGCTTCCACCAGCTGAACTGTAGGTGATCCTAAGGGTTTTGAGTAAGCCTGCCTCAGCTGAGCGACGTAGTCTGGAGGGACTTTAATGCTTCAGTGCATCAGTAAGATGTGTAGGAGTGATGAGCTTTATGTCAAAAGCAAGGCCATGCAGTCAGTGCATTGCTTAGAGGGGAAATCCACTGAATTTTTAAAATTTCAGCATAACTCAGTGGTTGAGATGTAAACAATGTCATTTAGAGTGGTTTGATGTGAAGTGGTTCATTGTAGAGAAATCTATCAACGCTGATTTCTTTACAGTGGTGGTGATAGGAACCAGGGGTCACAGTGTTTACCTGTCCGTGCTAATGTTGAACGTACACGTGTCTTCTAAGTTTTCATATGTAATGTGATAATGATAAAATGATAGTGTTGTATGAAAATATTGATACATTTGAGTGTCGTGATA